AATATTTGTGTTATTTTGTTACCATCCTTAAGAGAAAGAAAACGTTATGTCGAATTGACGAGCATTAAGTCCAAAAGAAAAAATTGCACTAATCAAAGACAATCAAAATGGTCATGGTTTATCGGTAGAAAAACTGGCTGACAAATACAACATATCAAAAAGTAGTGTAACCAACATTCTACATCGCCGAGAATAATTCTTCACTGATTCTGCCGTCAACTCGAACAAAGGCATAAAACGAAAGTATAACGATGAAAGTGGACAAACCATTGATCAACTGGCATTCGAATGATTTACTGTTCAACGATTCAAGCGAATTGCTATTCCACGGCCTATGCTACAAGAGAAAGCAAGACAATTTGCCAAAGAGTTGGGACATCCATCAGGTATATTCAAAGCTTCAAATGGTTGGCTGGAGAAGTTTTGTATTCGCCACGATATCTCCTTTCGAATGATTCTTCGTGAAGCGTCTCTATTGATAGTTCTACCACCGAAGAATGGATAAAAAGATTACCAACACTATTAGATAGATACAATGAGAAAGACGTATTTAATACAGACGAAACGGGATTATTCTACCATGCAACACCTGATCGATTGTTGGTACTGTCAAAAGAATATTGCAAAGGAGGGAAAAAAAGCAAAAACCGATTCTCCATTCTTTTGTGCTCAAATTGGGCCGAAACTGGAAAACCGAAGCCAGTTGCAATCGGTAAGGAGATCCGCTGACTGATTGTGTAGCTCATGCAACTTCTGTTTGTTTTCAGGCAAAAGTCTGCCCCCTCAATGCTTCAAAAACATTGTTGTATCTAAACTGCCAGTCACTTGTCTCGTAAATCGCACTATCCGGATGAATTGCACATTGTTCAGAGATTAGCTTGCAGATGTAAACGCTCAAATGAAGAAGACTAATCGTAAGATTATCCTTTTTCTTGACAATGCGCCTTGTCATCTAATCAACTACGACTGGTCGAATATCAAACTTGTCTTCTTTCCTCGAAATACTACTTCCACGTGTCAACCACTTGAACAAGGAGCCATCTATTCGTTCAAATGGTACTATCGACAGACATTAGTTAAACATATTATTGCTCAATATACTTCTGCTCGAACTGTAGATCAAATTACAGTAACTGCTCTTGATGCAATATGGCGGATCGATTTATTATGGAAAAATATAATGAAATCGACCATTAAAAACTCATTCCGGGCTGTCGGTTTTGTTCACTCTTCTTCTACATCATATTTCTCTACAGATAATAGTCCTGCTATGGCGACTGAAACTGACTCAGACTCGAACAATTCTAACGATCCTCTAAAACAACTTGATTCTCTATTGGTTCATGTTCGAATTGGTGATCAGCAGTTGACAACTGTTGAATATGTCGACATTAATTTTTCAATTCCAGCATTTAACGAATGTGATGATGATGAACATGTCTCTGGAACTGAAAAACCATCGAATTTGCCTGAAGTAATGGAAATGATGAGAAAGCTTCATATTTTTGCCTCTAATCAACAGCCTCAGCTACACAATCTCATATCTGATCTAGAATCGCAATTAACTGACATTTATCTGGACTCGAAAATAACGAAGCAAAGTTCCAGCAAAGATTATTTTGACACTTGTTGATTTTTCTATGTTCAAAAATAAAATAGAGAAAAAGAAAAAGAAATATCGTGCTCTATCTGATTATCCTATTGACTAATATTCCGGATGATTAGAAACATGTGCACTACCTTAGAAAAGACATTATTATTTTGGACAACATATAACCTCTCTATAGTGAATACTTTTGAAAAGTCCGAAGAGTGTCCAATATAGAGAGGTTTTGGTGTAAATATAGAAGTTTATAAGAGATAATTACATTTTTTTTTAATTGATGTGTTTGAATCTATGGGATCAATCAGATTCATGTAATTGTTCTGTAATATAAATCAATGTTTGTTTTAATAGAGTTCATTTTTCGTCGTATACTGATCCACTTTGATCAACACCATAAACAAGATCAATGGGAACATAAGATGAAGATAAAGATTCATTATCTGATGGTAACATAGATGGAAAGGCTGTGAGAGTCACGAGTCTATAAATATTCAATTGTTGAGATGAGATATTTATGTTCCATATTCTAATGTTGTAGCAACACTAATTAAAGGAATATAATTGGATCTTCAACTGTGAACAAAAACTATCGATAAATATGATTGATGTTTAATTCTAATCTTCGATGGAAATGAAATTGATTCAGAATTGAAAGATATAACAGTTTTTACATAAGTTGACTATTGAATATTACTAGCTGAATTTGGTCCATATGGATTAGTGAATTGATTTGAAGATTGCTCGTATCATGATTGATCATTCCTTACTAACACATTTGAAAGCAAACAATGAAGATGAAATTTATCATCGCATGATAATAATCAAAAGAGATGCATCTAATCCTATTGCATTTAGACATATTGAACAATCATCATTTACATTTACCGATGAAGCAATAGCATATGGGACATTGTTTTCTCTTCTTTTTTGTTAAACACGAGTTATTGGAAATATGACACAAAACAATAAGTATATGATTTTATATAGTTTCACATAACAAACTTATTTAACTATATTCTCACACAAATATGTATACACACCAATAAGTAATGACTATTGTAACAGATAATAACAAAATTTTTCTCTGCTAATTCAGTACAACTATATTTATACTATGACATTGAAAATAATTCGAGTCAAACCGATTAAAGTTTATGTAAAAAATAACTTTTTATCACATAAAATTTCTAATGAAAAACTCAATCAAAAGTTTTTTTTTAAAATAAATATCGTATATTTTTTCATCTCATATATTGAATATAAACTTAAATAGATTACACATTCAATAACTATACAACATGATATTTATTTTTGTTTAATAAATATTTGTTATGTTCTGTTTTGATCGTTGTTAAAAGACAACACATGATTCGATAGTTTATTATTATATATTTTTTTTCTTCTCTTTTCGAACATCAAAAATTCATGGTAAACGACGAATAGTCCTCATACTGTACAGTCTGATTCTGTCTTACATAAAAACAAATGATTCTTATCAAGATCGTAACAATAATAAGCCTGTTATATTAATAATCATATAAGCTTACACTTGATTTGAATTTTGAAATTTTTAATTCTCTAGAGCTTTTATTGCAAATCAAATGCTTGTGAAAGAGAAAGATCACATATTCTAATCAGAACATAATTCAATACTTAAAACATTTCTCATAGTGATAAATTAATCGTTGCTCAACTAAATACATTACAATTTCGATTTTACAGAAATAAAACAAAAAAATTAATTTTTTTCTTGCATTGATAACGTCAAGTACTCTTAACCTTATAGTGTATGTTAAAATTCCTATTGAAAAAAAGCCAGTTTATGTATGTATGGTACACAGACATTGTGATTGAGTGCAACAAAATAGAACATTGTCAAATAGAACAAACCATAATAAATAAAGTAAGTCAGAATGAATGCATACAATAAACTATTATTGTGAGCTTATGTATATTAACGATAATTTTTTTTTTCTATTGTTTCAAAACATTTTCTTCATAAGATACCAAACAATCGATTTAAAATTTTTCTTCCGTAGTTTTACTTGTTATATGCATATGAAAGATGAGATTTAAGGTTGAAACAAATAGTTTTCAAGTGAATTTAACCGAAACTACGGTTAATATAATCTTTGATACTCATCAGGATAAGTCAAGAATAGTTTTCGTTTCTCTTTAACATTTTTGGTTTCGATAATCTTCGTTAGATAGATTAATAAAGATATTAATACTTTATTATTGAACTTTTTTCATTAAGTTATAAAATAATATAGAAAGTCATTTTTAACATATTGAAGAAAATCAATTAAGACACAAACAAACACTTTAACATTTTCTTATTTACTATTGAAATATCAATTCAGTTAGTTATTTGATTTTTTAGATTAAGTAATGATTAACTATTTTTATCAATTTGGAGATTATCAAGTTTATTTTTGATTACATATGTTTCTTGATTATTTTCGTTAAATGAATCTTTCCTGTTATTTCAATAAGTTTCAATCATCCTTTGAATATTTGTTTTTAAAACATATTTAAAAAGTGTATTTGTCAATTTAGTTTCTCAAAATTGTTAAAATATTTTTCTTTTAATTGATCAAGCGTAATTGAATTAACAAATCTTATGAGTGAATAACTATCTTCGAGAGAAGTTTCATTGATATTTGTGATTCATTCGTACATTGAATTAAATAAAAAAGAGTTTTTCATTTCATAAAATAATAACGTCAACATATACAACGTGTATTAATATCAGAATAAATAATATAGTTTGATTAAGTGTATGAACAATGTTGATATGACTATGATGAGTTTAGTATAAACAATCAGCTATTTATATAATCTACTTCGAACTACAAACCTAAACTTATCGTTAAATACGAGAACTCATTATTAATGGTTGTTTTTTAAGTAGCAATGATCAGCGTTTTGTTTTATTCTTTAAAATCTTATCTTTCATTCGTGTATAACAAGCGAAAAATTTGAAATTAATTTTGATATGCTTAAGGATAATTCAGGTTCTGATTCTCAATAATTTTGTTATTGAGAGCAGCTCAGAATTCTTTATAAATTCGCTAGAACTTGATTTTTACTGTGTCTAGCAAAACCAATTGAGATTAAGCATTCGTTCAACAAATGTAATAATGATTATACATTCTCTTGAATAGTATCAGTGAGATTCCACATTCGCCATATTTCAGGTGAATGGAAAATTGAAAAATAGTGCTCAAAGAATATCTTGTGGATAAATGTATTCACAGTTTTTTTTGTTAGAAAACGGATTTTATCAATTGATAGACAAGAGATTCGTTTAGATATCTTGTGAAGAAAATGTTTCGAATCAATAAAAAAAATTTTTTTACAATGGTCTATAGATTTTTAAGTTTGATTAATAATGGCTCAAGCAAGTCATATGAATACTAAGCCAAAACAGTCGATTCGATGGCGAATTTCTAGAAGTAATGATCAATTAAATAGTGGATTGCATCCTAGTCAACGAAATGTTCAACATCATATTGAATCAAGTGTTGATAGAACAGATTATTCTAATACTCGTATTTGTATATGTCAAACAGCTAGACATCATCGTCTGTATTTATTCATCTAATTCTTTCTATTCTCTATTTTAGCTAACTTACCAATGAAAATAAGCAATAGAATATCTTCAAGTAGTTCATCGACTAATAATACACAAATTAATCAAGGACAAAATATTTCTATTGGTTTACGTACTTCTTCTAGTAAGTTTCTCATCGAGAGAAAATCTTGAAAAATTAATTAATCTATTTTGTTCCATATAAAGATCTACAAACTAAGAGAACATCAATTTTATCTTCGACAACAGATAGTACAAGTGATAATATCAATAAATTGACAACTTTTTCCTTTCAAAGAATAAATTCTCAACTACAAAGAATAAATTCTCAACGAAAACGAAAATCACATTTAATCGAGTATGTTATTCTAAAATAATAATATTAAATCATTATTTTATTATCTTATGAAATTTTAATAGAAATACTGCACAATTAACTCGTGAATGTGTTATTTGTTTATTAGATCAACCAATTTATTTATTTGAAGAACGTTATAGTAATCAATGTGAACATTTTCAAAGAACAATATGTGATACATGTGTTTATAATAATATAAAAACTCTTGTTGAAAATGTGATAAATAATCATATATGTTGTCCTGAACCGAATTGTATGGCTATATTTAATTTTGAAAATATTCGTTATATTCTTACAATGGGAAATAATTTAGAATTATTTGAACGATATGATCGACAATTAACATATCAACATCTTGAACAAATTCAAGAATTTATTTGGTGTGCACATAATGGATGTGGTTCAGGACAAATACATAATATGAACACAACATATTCAAATCCAATGGTTACATGTATTAAATGTAAAAAACAAACATGTGCTTTTCATCGTATAAAATGGCATGTTGGTATGACATGTCAAGAATATGATCAATTAAAAATATCATCGATTGATGATAATACACAAATATGGCTTAGAAATAATTCAAAAAAATGTCCATTATGTCAATCATATATTGAAAAAATTTCTGGATGTGATCATATGACATGTACAAGATGTAAACATCAATTTTGTTGGGAATGTTATGCTGATTATAAAAAAATTCAAATTTATGGTCGTAGACAACATATGAAATCTTGTACACATTATTTACTTTATACTCATTCAAATAATCATTTTTATAGACAAAGATTAATAAATTGTACTATTTTATAGAATCATATCAAATATCGTCATTTTCAACATTTATATATATATATATATATACATACATTAAACTCTATTTTTTAAATGTTAACTAATTCATGTGAATAATTTTTATATGTAAATAATATATTTAAAGGCACTCACCCGCTTTCTCGAATTTCTCAAGAATGGCTTGACCAAAAATGATGAAACTTTCAGGGTAGATAGATCTCGACTAGTAGAGTAAAAGTTGTCATAGACTCAGAATTCTCAGATACTCCCTTCTATGAGATTATAGAGAGCGCAGAGGTCAACAATGACCTGAAGTTTTCTCCCTCGCAAACAGTCAAAATTTATTTTTTATACCTGAAATTTTTTTGTAGCAACTAGGATCAAATCGAGGTGTATATATATATATATTTTTTTTTTCTTTCAAAAATATTATTTCCTTCGCTTATAGGAACTGAAATACTGGAAGTCCTGTCAAAAAACGTATTTTTTTCCCTTAGAGCAAATTTTGTAAGATTTTCCGGAAACCATCAGAACATTATTTCAAGAAAGGAAAAATACATATACACTCTGATTTAGTCCTAGCTGTCACATAAAAAATTTCAACTCAATCAGTCGAAGCATCTGGGAGAAAAACTTCAATTTTTCTCTAACAAAAGTTAATTTTGAGTAAAATACGAAACAACGTAAAACGAGATTCTTTTTTCGATATTTCGTGTTTTTCATTTTTTTACGCATAGCTATCAATTAATGCACTTACAAGACGCCTAGGAGGGTGCAATCTCTGATCCGCACAACACATATTGATGATGAAATAATTATATTTGTATAGATTATTTACAACACGATAGAACTATAGAATGGAATCTTTTGTATCAGGGATCTCTAAAGTTGGGTTTTTTAAAGATCTAGATAAATATAAAAACTTTTCGTTTATATGCTATTCGATAGCGAAATTCGTGTAAGTATGTGCTCATGAGAATTGATTAAAAATAGTGAAGATGAACCGTATGTACCATATCATATGAAATATCATGGATCATTTTTATTATATTGAAAATACCTAATGAAACTAACCATTTAGTTTTAATATTCATAAAAGTAATTGCAAAACAATGATTTCATCAATTAACAGCAATTAAGATTACAAAAACTCCAATACGAAAAACTCACCATAGAAAGAGATACAAATCGTTTTTAGATTATTATCTGAAAAGACTTTTTTATGAGTTGATGAATGTGAGAAACAATTTTCTTTAGATATAAAGCATCTATCTTTTTCCTACATAATTAATCTCTAATATCTAATCATCGAAAATAATTACAATCAAGAAAACAATTATTTCTTAGTATTAGCAATAGTAGAAAAAGAATTTTGTTTTTGTTTATTTCGCATTTGAAATCAAATAAAAAAAAAATACAATAGCTTAAACTTGTTTACTAATATTTTTCAAAAGAATTAATACAAGAATTTATTCATATAGATTTTAACATGGTGGATATTTTGTTTGTAAATAAGCAATTAAAGCTTGTGTTTGTGTTATATTAAATTCATGCCAAATAGTAATAGATGGATCGTTAAGTTCTGTATCTTTGAAATAAGTTATTGTACCAATAGAATAATTAAAAGTAGTTTTTGAAATATCTAATCCATCTACTAACCAAGTTTTTCCTTGATCGAGAGTTTCAATTCCACAATATGTTGTAAATCCTCCACTACCTTTCATTGATATACCACGAGTTAATACATTAGCAAGATATGAACCAGGAACAGAAACTGAAAAAATGTTATCTTGAAATGGAAATACACGTAAAATATCATATTGTGTAATTGATCCTCGAAGAACATCATCAATACGTATTGATCCTGTATGGAAAACTCCAATTTTTGTTTCATTTATAGATATTGAATTTAAAATACTTCGACAAGCATGATCTGTTAATAATGTTGGAAAATTTCTTACTGATGTTGAACGACCATCTAACTCAATATTTGATGGTAAACAAGATACTGTTTTATCAGGTTGAAATCCTATTTGTTGAAAACCTTTTTTACCTAAATCATACCAATAATTAGTAATTTCAGCTGTTTTTGGTTCATCTACTAAGTCTGAATTTATTAATGTTAATGTTCGATAAACACGAAGTCGTTTTGTATCAATATTAAAAGCACATCGATGAATATAAACAGTAAATGCATTTGCATCAGCTTTAGTTATTGGAATATATTGTGAACCTCGTAATAAAAAATAATTTTCATGCTCATGTCCACCTAATATTAAATCAATTTCTGGTATATGTTCAGCAAGATGTATATCAATTCCTACATCTAAATGTGTTAATGCAATTAAAACATCATATTTTATATTTGATATTGATTTAAGAAATTGTTGAACAAATAATACAAGTGATGTTTGATTAATTATATGTACATATGGCTTATCTATATCAATTGTTAAACCAATTAAAAGAATATTAATTTTATCAATTGATAAAATTTTATATGGAATTGTTAATGGAAATGATTGATTACTACCACGTTTAAATACATTTGTACTAATCCAAGTAAATTTTGATTCATTAATTCTTGTAATTAAATCATTTTCATTTAAATCAAATTCATGATTACCAAATGTAACAAAATCAATTCCTAATGTATTCATAGATGCAACCATATGTCGTCCATTTAATGTTGTTCCATTAACTTTTGATTGACTTAATGCTGATGGTGAAAGAAAATCACCAGATAATATTGTATATGTTTGAGAATTTTCTTCTAATAATAATTCTCGTACATGAGCAACACGAGCTAAACCACCTTTTCGTCCATGATCTAATGGAAGCATTTCATAAACATCATTTAATTGTAAAAATGTCCATTGTATATATTTTCCATCATTTGGTAAACGTATAGGAAAACCTATTGTACCTTTATCAACTGCATATAAATAATGAGCAGAAGATTTTGAACGATTCAATAAAACAGCAAATGTAATCGTTGTGATTGTAAGACTAATTATTATTAAAGATATTATCACAATAATTAATAAACGATTTTTGTCGTGAACTAATTTAGACCATTGTGACCATTTAGAATTTAAGCTTGGTTGCTAAATATTAATAAAAAATAATTTATTTTATATATGTTTATCAATAGAAACACTGTCTTTTTTTTAGCATCTTTAAAAAACAAACATACTATATCATCAATTACCATTATAAATCTATTGTCTAACTATTTCAATATATATCAATTAAATTTATTGTTTTTTTAATGTACAAGAAGAAAAACACTATCTCAATTGTATTGCTTTTGTCCTTTAGTTTGAATAATCTAAAAGAATAAAAATAAGAATGTTTTACTCTATCTCTAACACATTTCTTTTAATATGATAAATAAACTGATAAGCATGTTTATTTGTTTAAGAGCAGCACATATATATATTTGTTTTATTAACCAATAACAGACAAAATATTTCAATAGATATGATCGATTATTAGTCCTTTTTTTAAAAAAAAATTCTTTTGATATTTCTTTTGTAATTTTTGTTAATTTTATTTTAGATTAAAGTAACATCTTTAGTTCGAAAACTAATATTCTATGAAAAGTCGATGCTTTCATCAGTTACTTTTAAGAGAAGCTCTATCTTTCTGAGCTTCCTTAAGAATAGTTTGGCAAAAAACTTTCGAAATTTTCCAGATAGATCGATCTCAACGAGTGTATAATGAAAACTGTCGTAGATTGTAAATATTCAAATGCTTCCGTACCGAATATCTTGATAGTGTAGCAGCTATAAATGACCTGAAGTTCACCTTACAAAAATTCATTGTGTTTTTTTTTAAGGTCGAATTTTTGTTTTTCTCTAGCAAATATGATCAAGTCTGAATACCTCGTTTTTTTCTTGGAGAAATATTGTTGTTGAGCCTCTAGAGAATTAAAATACTAGAAGCATTATGAGAAAATCATCAAAAAATACTTCTTTTTTCGAATACTATTAATTTTATAAAATTTGTCAAAGTTTGTAAGTATTATATATTCAAGAGAAAAAAAAGATATACATCCTAATTTTATGTAATAATCTATGAAGAAGTTTGAGTTCCATCGACCATACTGTATGATAGAAAAGAGAAGAATATTTCAACTCGTTTGCTTAAAAACATGACTTTGAGAAAACAAACTCAGGGAATTGAAATTTAGGGCTTTTTTAGCATAACATGGAATTGTTTGTCGTATACAAAATGGTAGATTTTACTTTTTAAAATATATTTATTAGATAGAATGTATTTCAATCTACATATCAAACAAAAACAAAAAATCAAAATCAAAACATAACTGATATTTTTTGGTCGGTAAAAGGAGGATTCTCTTTCAATATTTATTTTCACATTAATTCATAGATAAAATTCTTACTAAAATCTACTTTTAAAGTATAATAATATATTACCTATTGATAATGAATTATATATGAAATACTTCTTTTGTATTACTATATGACTTTTATCATAGATTTTGACTCTACATTACTGTCAAATATTTGAAAAGAAGAAAAACTGAATATTAATTAAGATATTTCAAATACTTTTATGATAAGAAATAATATTTTAAGTTCCAAATGTAAAATGTGCTCGATAAGAATATCAACAGAATAGAAAAATTATCAGAATTATTACTATTATGTCTATTAATCAAAATCTATTTGCTATTATTATTGTTAAGTCTATATTTATTTTTTGATAGAATCGTGTCAGAAATTTTAAAATGAAATCTAAACATTAGACTAAAGTTAATTGTAGAATACTATTTCTTTTTAATCTAGTGTAATCATTAAAACTATTCGTAGAAATTTTTCATTATATTTATATATTATTGCATATTTTTATTGTTTATAATGATCGCGAAATAACAACGACATGAACCAACTTTCCTGCTTTTTTAATAAATAAAATCCAGGCATTATCTATAAAGCATCAAGCAAAGACGTCAATCGACAAATTGTTCTCTTGATAAAATGTTAACCCTT